GAGGGGGGAGGGTCAGAGGGAGAAGCAGACTCCCTGCCGAGCAGGGAGCCCGATGCGGGACTCAATCCAGGGACTCCAGGATCATGACCTGAGCCTAAGGCAGTCGCTTAACCAACTGAGCCACCCAGGCGCCCTAAGTTGTGCTTGACTATGTGCTGTTAATTTTTTTTCCTGTAGTCCTATGGCCCTCCAGAGAAACCAGGTTCCTTCACCTTCCTTACAGTCTAATAAAAAATATATAAACAATTACTTACTCTTGGATGGAAAGCTATGGCAGTGACAAAATCTATATGTTGAAAACAGCAAAGGCATTCTCTTCTGGAAATGTGCCATAACCTGACCGTTTTATCCATCGAAGAAGAAAGCAGGAAGTAGTTCTATAGAGAAATTGATATTGATCATTTTATCACCCTATGAAAACACACTACTTGCACAATAAAAGCAAACTTTCAGTTCTTTCAGTATCTCAACAGTTTTGTTACTATTGTTATACCTAGCATCAGAAAGAACAAAAAGATTATCCAATTCACTTGGAAGACTGCATTTTTTCCCAGTTACATACCATATTTCTTCGATTCTAAGACTTCTTTTATATTACCTGTTCTAAATTTAGGATAATCTTATGATCTAGGTCAAAAGAAATCTGCTAAGCACCAAGAGAGGACGACTAAGGTGTGCCTTAGTTTTTATAGTCCCCATATACTGAAACTAGGTTATGAATATAAGGCACCCATTCATTTGATTGTCACTTCAGTTCAGTTATTCTGACATTGGCAACCCTGGTGAATTTTAACTCACACAAATTCCCTAATTGTCACTTAAAATGCCTTCAAAAAGATTATCCTATAATGCAGCATGGAAATGAAAAGTTACTGTGCACCTGTCACATCCAAGGCAAGAAAATGAGAGAAGAGAAATCATCAAACATCTCAGAATACATCATAGAATTTTCAAAAGCTAGAAGAGGGTAGTGTAACTGCTTTAGGCACTGTGATGGCCCATCACCCAGGAACCAAACATCTATCTGTCAAAAGTTTCCAGCTGGCAGAAGTTCTTTAACTTTTCAGCATAATCTATTTAAGGAGAACTATGAGTTATATTGAATGGGGAAACACAAATGAGACCCCAGTATTCTTTGTTATGCCTAAAGGTGATAAACAAATCAAAGCAATGATGACAGTTATTGAGTACTTGCAATGTGCTAAAAATTGTTCTTAACACTATCCTATGAGGTAGGTACATTATTATCCCCTTTTACAAATGAGAACACTGAGGCACAAAGATGTTAAATACTAAGTGCAAATATCGATTTGGATATGTTGCTGCACTGATAAATATATGATATTTGGGGCTAGTTGTAAAAGCATGTTTTATGTGGTATACCTGCTTTTAATTAATTAATTAATTAGAGCGAGAGAGAGCGCTCATGTGTGCTGCCTGTGTACATGGGGGGAGGAGCAGAGGGAGAGGGAAAGAATCCTCAAGCAGACTCTCAGCTGACACAGGGCTCAATCCCAGGACCCTGATTACTGAAAAATGTTGACACAAAGGCAGTGTACGGTATTATGCAGGAATTTCAAACACTGCTTCATGCTTCAAATGCCTTAAATAAAATTTAAAGTATCTCTTTAAATTTCTGCAAAACTGCTAAGATATTTGTTTGGTGGCAAAACAGGCCCTCTACTTCTGAAATAATTTTGCTCTAAGGGGGAAAAAAACAAAGTGATGACTTATCTAAGAGTCATATATTGTTAAACTTAATGATTTAATAAATATAGGAGATTAGCCAAAGCAGTCTTGATTATATAGATCAGACTTCAGCACTGTAGCTGAAGTCATATCCATTATGCAAGAATAGGTTACTCTGCAAAATTACTTTATAAAGAAGCAAAAAGTACAAGTATATAGACAGATCCAGACAGAAGCTGTTAATATAAACATTTTATTAGTCTAACTTGATGTTGCTCCTCTTTTAACCGATTACTTTGTAGCTAACTCCCATGAAGTATATATAACCATTCAAACACTTGAAAAACAAAACATTTGTTTTTATCCTAAAGTCATAGTTACGTAGAATTAATACACTCTTCAAGTAAGAGTTTCTTACTTTAGACCATGAAAGATCAAGGAGATCAGCGGTGTGTCCTTTATATTTGCAAAACGGCCGCTGCCGAAATGGTGCATTTTTATCATCAGGGTCTTCATCAGCTCCACTGCATACCTATTTAGATATAAAGACAAATGTTAAAACTAGAAAAACAAAAGCTTCATACTCTTCCCACCCCATCAATTCTCTCCTCATTTTGTATCCTGCCTGACTGAAATCTTGATCTACCAAAAACAAACTCCCCTTTACGATGAATCTACAACTTATCACTCATTCACCTCCTTGTTCCAATAAACCAGGATCATCCCTGAAGACTGTGCGATCACAATCTTTCCCTCCCTAACAAAGCTCCTACTTTGTCCTTTTCTGAGCATTTGCTCCTTCCGGAGGGGTGGGAGCCAGCACCAGGGGGTGAATCATGATTGGTCTGAGCTAATCAAAAGGAGCTCATTCCCTTTCCCAGTGATGATTGGTTTAGGCAGGGGCATGTGCTATAATTTTTTTCAATTAGACATGACGGAAAGTTTATTGGGGCGTGGGGCGTGGAGACAGGGGAGAGGCTTCCAGAAAGATTTCCTCACTCTTAAAAAGGGGCATACTACAGGGATGTTCTTCTTTCCTTCCTCTGAACATTGCTGTCTGTGTGACACCTAAGATTAGTTGCCATCTTACTACCATGAGGGGAATAGACCTAAGAACAACAGACAAAGAAGAGCAAAGCAGGAGGCTGGCAGAACCCTGTGTCCCTGATGACACTACTGAGCTGCTGAATTAACCAACCCTGGAACCGCCTTACCTCCAGACTTGCTTCCTCATTGTTTAAGCCATTTTCAGTTGGATTTCTGTTATTTGAAGTCAAAAGCATCCTGACAGAGGTAGGTAGAAAATAATGCCATACGTGTGTGCCATGCATTTAGTTTACAACATGCTTTTGTATTCATTATCTGAATGAATCCTAACAACTCTGTCAGGTAGGTAGTAACATTATGGAGATGAAGAAATTAAGAAAAACACCTGAGACTCAAAGAGATCAAAATAACATATTAAAGCTCACACAGCCACCTGTAAACAGCAGAACCAAAGCAGAAACACAACTCTAAGTCCAAAGACTGTCCCTCAAACGTTTTAGAGAATGTAGCATGAGCAAAAATACGGAGCTGTTAGCTAATAAGCCCTGCATATTTAAGGAAGGATAGGTAGGATGATGGGGACCAGGAACAAGGTGTATGGAGATACAGCGGGGGATTAGAGCAGAAAGGTACTTTGAGACCAGATCATAAGGGACCTCGCATTTGTGGCTTAAAAGTTCAGATATTCTAAGGCAACGGAGAGCCAGCACAGGCCTCTGAAAAGAAAGAACAACACTACGCGACTGGTGCTTTAGAAAGCGAAAGGTAGGCAGTAAGGTAAAAGATGGCAGGGAGAAAGAGCGGAGGCAGAAGAGCAGTCAGTAAGTGTCAATAAGAATAAGGAGGGCTTGAACTAGGCCAGGAGCATGGCACAGGTAAGAAATGCCACTACTATTTGCCTAAAACTTTACAGTGTAGAAAAACATCTTCATATCCACTGTGGAGGCAGAGCAGCTACAAGATGCCCTGACCTTTTGCCAAGCACTCCTAATCCTAGAGGACCACGGCTCGGGCCTCTACTTGGACTCCCACCCTAGTGAGCACAGCTGCAACACACAAAACTCAACAGGCTTGACCTATTGCATAAAATTCAACCTTTTAATAATGATTTACATTTCACTGAGTCCCCAGCATCATTCCTCTAGCAGTGATTCCAGATCTTATTTTTCTCCTCAAACATCCATGTTCTTCTCCTTGTACTCTATATTTTGTTTCAAAATACTTAAATACATCTTTTTTGATTATAAATACATGGCCAGTGTAGATAATTCAGAAAGCCCAGGAAGTAGAAAAACTAAAATTAAAACAATAATCTGCTAACATTATGACTGCCTTCATCTTTCATTTTTTTTTTTTTTAAAGATTTTATTTACTTGACAGAGAGAGACCCAGCGAGAGAGGGAACACAAGCAGGGAGAGTGGGAGAGGGAGGAGCAGACTCTCTGCTGAGCAGGGAGCCCGATGCGAGGCTTGATCCCAGGACTCCGGGATCATGACCTGAGCCGAAGGCAGACGCTTAACGACTAAGCCATCCAGGCGCCCCTTATCTTTCCTTTTTTAAAAAATATTAATTTAAATCACACACGATTCAGTATCTTCCTTTCTATTATACTATGAGCATTTTCAGTAATTCACTCTCTGAAAACATTTACTAGCTGCATATCAATATGCCATAATTTAATCATTCTCCAATTGATTGGTCATTTATAGACACTTCCCATTTTTTGCTAGCATAAACAGCAATTCAATGAACATCCTGGAACATGAATCTTTATGTCTATTTTATTATTTATCCTAATATAAAGGGTAATATGGTCAAAAGGTTTTAAACTTGGAGACTTTGACAGTATCTTCTGTTATTTGTTTTAATAAAAGCAGGTATGTTTACTAAAGAAAATTTTAGGGGTGCCCTGGGTGGCTCAATTGGTTAAGCATCTGCCTTTGGCTCAGGTCATGATCCTGGGGTCCTGAATCGAGACCCACATCAGGCTCCCTGCTCAGCGGGGAGCCTGCTTCTCCCTCTCTCTCTGCCTGCCGCTCCCCCTGCTTGTGCTCACCCTCTCTCAATCTCTCTCTCTGTCAAATAAATAAGTAAAAATCTTAAAAGAAAAATAAAGAAAATTTTAGAAGTACAGAGAAGTATAAGAGTAAAAAAAAAAAGACCTAAAATCCCACCACCTAGAGATGACCACTAGTAATAGTGTATTTCTTTTCTTCCCCAAGGATTTTATTTTTTTAGTAATCTCTACACACATCGTGGGGCTTGAACTCAGAACCCCAAGATCAAGAGTCACATGTTCTACTGACTGAGCCAGCCAGGCGCCCCAAATTTAGTGTATTTCTTTGAAATTTTAATCTGTAAATATTTAGATATTTTTAGTCAAAACTGGGATAATATTGTATTCAATTTTTCCATTCTGATTTTTTCACTTCACATTTTATTTTGAATATTTTTAATGTCATTAAATAGTCTTTGAAAACAATTTAAGGACTGCATAGTATTCTACTTCAAGAATTATACCATAGTTTTTATTTTCCAACTATTAAAATTTTAGTTGTTTAAATTTTAGCTATCATTAGAATACTAAGATGAAAATCTTTTTATTTACTTCCTCAAGCCTATCTGATTATTTCCTTTTTTCTTCTAAAAGATTTTATTTATTTGAGAGAGAGAGCGTGCGTGCAGGCGCGAGCACGCAAGTGCTCGTGAGCACGAGTGTGGGGAAGGGCAGAGGCAGAGGGAGCAGCAGACTCCCGGCTGAGCAAGGAGCCTTACCTGGTGCTGGATCCCAAGGACCCTGGGATCACCACCTGAGCTAAAGGCAGCCACTTAACAAACTGAGGCTCCTAGGCACCAGTCCTTTTTCTTTTTAAAGTAAGCTCTACACCTAAGGTGGGGCTTCAACTCAGGATCCTGAGATCAAGTGTCCCTTGCTCTACTGACTGAGCCAGCCAGGTACCCCTATCTGATTACTTCTTTATGATAGATTTTTTTTTTTTTTTAAAGATTTTATTTATTTATTTGAGAGAGAGAGAATGAGAGACAGAGAGCACGAGAGGGAAGAGGGCAGAGGGAGAAGCAGACACCCCGCCGAGCAGGGAGCCCGATGTGGGACTCGATCCCGGGACTCCAGGATCATGATCTGAGCCGAAGGCAGTCGCTTAACCAACTGAGCCACCCAGGCACCCTTTATGAAAGATTTTTAAAGGTAGAATTATTAAAGGTAGAATCACCAAAATGTTATGCATTTTATCTATATGTATACATCTCTATAAACAGATATCTACATCTAGAGAGATATAGTTCTATATAAAAATATATATTTATGTCTCTATATAAACATATATACAACTTTATTATGACCATTTCAAATATACACAGAAGTAGAATAATGTAATAAATGGTAGAACAAACCCAATACATCCATCACCTGCTTTAATGGTTATCAGTATTTTACTCATCTTGTTTTAGCAATCCTCCCACGTAAAGTATGTGCTTATTTTTGCTGGAGCACTTAAAGCAAGAGCTAAACACCATTGATTTTACCAGTAAATACTCTTTATGTACTTCTAACTAATAAGTCCTCTTTTAAATATAACTACTATGCTATTAGCACACCTAAAAAAGTCATTTTACTTATTTATTTTTTTTAAGATTTTATTTATTCATTTGACAGAGATAGGCACAGCGAGAGAGGGAACAGAAGCAGGGGGAGTGGGAGAGGGAGAAGCAGGCTCCTGCTGAGCAGGGAGCCTAACGTGGGACTCGATCCCAGGACCCTGGGATCATGACCTGAGCTGAAGGCAGACGCTTAACGACTGAGCCACCCAGGCACCCCTAAAAAAAAGTCATTTTAAAGTTGGACTGCTATGCAAACTTGTAAGCCTTTTGATATTTATTAGCATTGACTATATACCAGATACTGTGTTAGTTATTTGAGATAACAAAATAAATAAGACATTTCTTAGTTTCTAATTATCTAGTCTCAGTATTTAAAAGCCAGAATGAACCTTTTAAAATATGTCAGATTATGTCATTCTCTGTTCAAAGACCCTCCACTGGCTTCCATCTCTCTCAGAGTAAAAGCTGAAGTCCTTGTAATGGCTTACACATTGTTTGCCCCATCCACACCTCTGTGACTTCATTCTTTTCTTTTTTTAGAGAAAGATGGGGGGCAGAGGGAGAGTGAGAGAGATAATCTTAAGTAAACTCTGCACTAAGCGCGGAGCCTGACACGGGGCTTGATCTCACGACCCTGATATCATGACCTGAACCAAAATCAAGAGTGGGAGGCTTAACCAACTGAGCCACCCACGTGCCCCTGTGACTTCACTTTCTACTTTCTCCCTTGCTCACCAGCACTGGCTACTCAGGCCTCAATGCTCTCTCTTTTTTTTCGCTTTTTAAGTTTTTATTTTAATTCTAGTTAGTTAACATACAGTGTTATATTAGTTTCAGGTGCACAATATAAGGATTCAACAATT